AAAATGTAGTGCCTCTAATTAAAGTGAGTATTGAGCATTTCTCTGTTGCTTGTTTTAGGTGAAAAGGTGGAAGTCGAAACATTGTGCACCAAAAGCTAGCAGCTGATGACCACAGAGAGCACAGCTAATGTGGTCACTAAGACACTTGGATTACACAAAATACTCCAGGATCTAAGTAAACAACAGCACCAACTTTAATGACCCATTCGATTGCCAGTCAACACCAAGAAGAGCAAACACAGTTGAAGCTGTAAACAGCATGCTATTTGCTTTCTAACTCCTGCCTTTGGAGAACCTCTTACTCATATCCACAGGTCCTAACAGAGTCTGTGCCTCATGGAGAGTCTCACTTTCACTGCCTGCCTGACCAGATGAATGAAAACAGTGAAGATCTAGAGATCATTCAAAATATCCCCCTCTTGCAGGGAAAGGGGATGTTAAATGGCCAATGTCTGGCCACCTATGGTCACAGCCTCCCCGAAGTCCTAGACTTCAAGATGCTTACTCCCACTTTTGAAAGAAAATGAGAGGTGCAGACACTGTTGCTAAGACTGCTGGATGCCTGCTAATATGATAGCCATGAAATTGTACTTATTTCTAGAAGGAATCTTCATTCTGAAAATTACCTACAAAATGATGAAAGTATCCAGAAGACAATCTCAGTATCTCCAGATGGTTCAGTTAGAACCTTAAACACACTCACACAAAGACACAGACAGACACACACATGCACACACACACACACACAAAGACACATACACATGCACAGACACACACACACACACATAAAGACACAGACACACACTGTAAAATCCATATGTAGACACATAAACTTATGTTGATAAATAATGTCTCCACTTACAGAATAATAATGCTTTACACTGCTCCTATGTTGTTCTCTAAGTATGTGTTCATTAGAAAGCTAACACCAGAAAGAGGTAAGAAAAATATTCTTTGCATTGTTAATAACATATGCATGTGGAAACTATGTTTCTAAATTAAAAATCAACTAATAGTTTTCAATCGGGCGTCAGTGAAACTGTCCTTATGTCCTGGGTTACAGCCCATGTCAGCACCTCCTGCAGGGCCCCCACCACACTAATGTGATTAGACAGCAGAGGGCAGTCCTCTTTTCCACCCTGGCTGTCTGAAGACCATTGCCATCATGAAATCACAGGATATGGACTAGGAAGCTCATAACAGAAATCAGTACATGGGAAGAGATAGGACCATACAAGGTTGTGAAAAACAAGAGACAAGTACTGAGGGCATTGTAAAGTTGCCTTCTAATTTGGTTCATTTACCATTGCTGTAGTAAAATACCCAAGGCTAAATAGTTATAAAGAAAAGGCGTTGATTCGGCTCGCAGCTTGGGAAGCTGAATGTATGATGTGAGGTTAACTGTCCCTCTGGGGTTTTTGCTGGCTATCTTGTGGTGATGGTGTCTTGGTAGGCACAAGTATGGGGAGGTCATATCATGAGATCTGAGTCCAAAAACAATTTAAGGGCCGCATTCTATGTTTACATAAGTCATTCACCTGTTGAACTACCAGGTCCCAGGAGAACTACCTTAATTCCTTTTCAGGGCAGTGTCTCCATTAGTCTCCATTAGTGTCCACCTATCAAAAGCCCCACTGCCTCACCACCAATAACACTAGTACTCTGAACACCAACATTACAACACATGAATCCTTGGGCACCAATCACATCCAAACTGCAGCACCACCCTACCTATCTCTGTGTGCTTGTATGTGCATACATATAGATGAATACAGGCATATACATCAAAACATAAAGACATTTGTGTACACATGGGTATGTGCATACACAGAAGATACACTTCAAATGTCTGATTATCGTATCATTGTGATAAGATGCAACATCTCGGCTAGCACTAACAAGACTTAGGGAAAACTTCGACAACTCTCACCAGGCCCAGACAGAAAAGGGAGGCTTGTGAATTTCATTGGCTTCACAAATTTAAATTGAACAGTTGAAGTTAATTTTTATACACTACATGATTTCACTCTACACATTGTCCAGTTTCAGGCAAGGAGTCCTACACTAGGCATCATTACTGAGACCAGGCTTTGGTCCCCCTCGTGTGACTCTCCCGGACTCTCTTGGCATCCACCAATTACCTACTGGCTTGTGTTGTTTTTACTCTTTACTAAGGAGTCGGAAATGATGCAGCTGTGCTCTCCTAGACCCAAAGGGTCGGAATGAGTGCCTCCTGCTTAGGAAATAAGGAGTCCTGGACATGAGCTCACCAGTCTCAGTGGGAAGTCACACTGAATTAGGCACAGGTTTGCAACTGAAAATTATTTGAGTTTCTGTGTGAGCTTTCATAGCTCTTCCATACAACATAGAACTGTCCATGAACAAGAATCCCTTTCTTTTCTTGAGCAGGCAGATCTTTGGGACTCATATATGAACATTGAGAAGGAAGAAACTACGATAGAAGTAGGGCTGGCTGCTTTGCTGAGAGAGCCTGATGAGAACTACATGTGGACAATGTCCTCCAGAGCTCTGAGGGTGAAGATGGAAGAAGGCTGTGGAGGGGGACTGCTGTTTCCTTTTGCATCTCAGAACCAACTACCACCCTGACACCTCAAAAACTATAAACAGTGTCAAAACCCCCCAGAGAACCATGAAACAGGTGACACCATAAGCACAGGGGACATCATAAACAGGAAATGGAAGTAAAATGTGATTGAGATTCATGTTATTCACCATTATCTAAGTCTGCCTAGTAGATAGTGGGTGTTGATGGCCAATTTTATCTAATAAATATTTTTACCCACTTAAAAAAAGAACATGAAAATTGATCATTGGAATTAAATAATTGATTAATAATTAAATAATGAAACACTAGAGAATTTTTCTCCATTTTTAATTTAAATTAGAAACAAGATTGTTCTTGTTCCTTCTCCCTCCCCTCCTTTCCTGCCTACCTCCACCCCCCACCCCCATCCCCGAACTAACACTCTACCTATCCCATACCCTTTCTGCTCCCCAGGTAGGGTGAGGCCTTCCATAGGGGGGTCTTCAGAGTCTGTGATATCCTTTGGGATAGGGCCTAAGCCCTCCCCTGTGTGTCTAGGCTCAGGGAGTATCCCTCTATGTGGAATGGGCTCCCAAAGTCCATTCCTATGCTAGGGATAAGTACTGATCTACTACAAGAGGACCTATAGATTTCCGAGGCCTCTTCACTGACACCCACATTCATGGGGCCTGGATCAGTCCCAGGCTGGTTTCCCAGCTTTCAGTCTGGGAACCAAGAGCTCCCCTTTGTTCAGGTCAGCTATTAATGAAACACTAGAGAATTTTTAAGCCATGTGGATTTAGTAATAGTCTATCACATGAACAGTTTTTTCTCACGTATGTTTGTTTTACTACAGAATTCTTTAAATATCAACATCTCTAAATGTCAACAATCTCTACAACAATTTTCACTGTAAATACAATAGCCAGTCTTTGAAGGGTAATGTAATTAATAAAAATAAATTTTAATGAAATTCGAATGTCTTCATTTTGTTGTTGAAGAAACGTGAGATCCAATGACATCAAGTGACTTGAAACTGGCCAACAACTAGTTAATGTCAGAGTTGAGGCTAAGCCCCACATGCCCCAACTTGGTACATAGGGCCCTTTCTTCTTATCCAAACCCACACGCACGATGCAAGAGCTTTCAAATTGGGGTATGCACACTGCTGCAGGCAATGGCAGAATGCCAGGGAGGTGAAGCCACACGATAAACACAGGGTGTTTTGCTTCAGAGTAAATATTACTCAAAGATTTGAGGAGCGTTAGGAGAACCACTTTATTTTTATTAAAACAAGATTGATTATAAAGGAGGCTGCATATTCTAAGTGAATTTTTAAGATTTCAAGCTGGTGTCCTGCGGCTAGCATCCTAGTACATGGAAGGAAAAGCCTTCTGCTCACTCTGCTAGGGATGCTTGCTATATATAATAAAATAAAATAATAATAATAGTAATAGAAATAATAATAATGATAAATAGCTTACTAACATAGGGACATTTGTGAATGAGTTTTTATGCTAAAGTGACTTCATTAGTTTCCATCCCTGACATTCTGTAGTTGTTTGCATTATTTTAGCTTCCATGATCATTAAGTAGCAATATTTTCAAAAGACCACGTTAAGATGTTACAACGAGGAACCTGAAAGATGGCTCATCAAGAAAGGGCTCCACAGATGAGAGACTCCCAACTCACACAAAAGAGAAGCCCACGTGACTGGTGCCGACACAGCTACTAAAAACTAAAATCCATGTTAGAAGATTTATCAGAGGAAATACTTGTTTACTCGATATTGGCCCACGCAGTCAGAGGGAAGTACTGTTTTCTTATGCGACTGGAATATTGGAGAACCTCAATACTGCCAACCTCTCCCCACAACCTAGGTCTGCCTGCATGATGATGCCTCGGTGTGGAAATGTTAGGGGCACCAAAATCTCAGTATTTGAAATAAAAATTTCAATGTTATGCTTCCAAGTCAAAATTGATGAAAAATACTAATCCATGAATAAAACGACAAATTTTAGATGAGAATGAAATCGTATGCTTTTCCAGTTGAGTGGGGCTGCAGCGAGACTCCTCGGAGTATGGCCTCATTCCTCCTACAGCTGCCAGCTGCCTAAGGGATACCTCTTTTCTCTAAACGAAGCCTGCTGGAGCTCGTATGTCGACTCTGAAATTATTTCTGGGCCACTGCTTGTTCTGGCCCTCGGACCCCCCTCTTGCTCTCTTGATCTCTGGCATAGCTGACCTCACTGTGGCCCATGCATCCCGCTGCAGAGGGAGAGGACAAGGGAGGGGCTGTGATGTACTGCTGCAAACGTCATAGAAGTCAGGGTTTGGCTTCACAGCTTGACTGATTTGCATTGGCCTTCAGTTGAAGGACAGTGGGAAGGGAACAATGAGGCCTTGGCCAAGCCCAGTGGACTATTGGTGCCCCTCTCCGCTGTAATTTTCCTCATGTCCAGAGAGCAGAAGACCTCCTTGCTCCCCAAGTTTCCATGCTCCATCCTCCGGAAGAAGTCGAAAAATGCTCTGCAAATCAGTCTCCAGGTAAAAGGCACCTCCCTTAACCAGATCTACAGCCT